GGAGGTGACCAAGTGGGTCTGGCTTCAAGAAAAAGATAGAACAGTGAGGTCAGCTTTCGAGGACGGGAAAGGCATTTTTTCACATCAGAACTGCAGAGTAGTATGCAACCGCAACTTGTAGAGCTCTTGCATAACAAATGTATTTTCGTAGTGCAGAAACTATTTTCAGAAAGCGCTCTTCCTCTTAGAATTTCAAGCAGTTCTCTGATTCTAAGACCTCACTGTTTTGAGCTGCTCCACATACCAGAACACCACGAGCAGTGTTGCTGAAGGGTGTAATTCTAGAAAACTCGTAGATTGAATAAAAAGTCTGCTTTGATTGATTTCGAACACGGACTGAAAGTTCACGCTCTAAAGAGGCCTCAAAGGCTGCTGGCCACGGCTTCATTGATCTCTGTAAACAGTAGCGCTATAGCGTACTGCGGAGACCTTTTTTGACTAGGGAAAAATGAGCCTTCAAACTTTGACCTTATTAGTAAAAACCGGTTTTTCCCATATGAGAACTAGAGGTATACTGGTAAGTGTAAGACGATTACTGATGCCCTTTGATACAAGCCGGTGTCTACACAACACCTTTTCATTGTCAGGAGCTCTCTCACGTCATTGATGTAAGAAGTAGTGCAAACTGAAAGGTGATTTATGAACTCTTTCGAAGACACTTCTCTTAGGTCATATGTGGGCTTTCATAAAAGAGAATAAAGCATTTGGCACCAATACCACGCATACGACTTCCATTCAGATTCGTAGCGGCCTTTCGAGTGCGTATGTGGCCGTAAATGGACTTGCGGTAGCCAGCCGTAAATAAGTCAGTGCTTTTATCGTCCCAGACGGGTCTGGTATCAATAAACCAACGTTAAAGTGGTGATAAGGGAAGGAGGCTAGCTTAGTCCAGGTGATCCAAAATTCTATTCCTCGGCCATGGCTTCTGACGATCCCTGCGCCACATCCCCCGACATCTATACAGCGCTGTTCCTATTTTCCTAACAGTGTGCTCCTTCACCCATTTTAACTGGAAGTTGCCACGACCGCGCCTGTCTTGCTCGAAATAACGTCGAACATCTACTTTCCAGGAGCGACGATCACATACTCATC